CAAAATAAGGATTGAGAGCATTTTTATTCATATATTTGATGCTAACAGTAAATTACTATTTTAGGTAATCTATGCTCATTAAGTTATACCTGATTTTCTCACATATGTATTCAACTGCATTTATTTCCACAGCATGACTAGAACATATGTCCTACATTTGTGGAGGCATTATTGTTGCCAAAGATATCTTGTAAAATACTATCTTAAGAAAAATAAAATAACACATTTAAAATCATGAACTCAAATTGTGTTGGCTTGGTTTAAATTAAATATTTTTTCTGAGCCTACTAACTCAGATCATTATATACAATAACATTTATTCATCATTTAGATTAAATTTGCAAAGAAACTATAACCAGATGTGCTTAAATTTGTAATAATTTATATTCAACATGTTCAGAAGCATAATTACATTAGTTATGCCTTGCATTAAAAGTCACTATTTCTAAACTGCATAAAAGTAAGACATTATTCATTGGAAATAAAAATCTTTAGTATGTCAACAGAGCTATTATTAAAATAGAACTGAATGTAGTATCCTGCTTCACATGCAGCATGACCCAGGGTATAACTTCTTCACTGCATATTTTCACTGGCTCAGCACAGAATGCAGAAAGTTAGCATACATAAGTCCCAGTGAGGAGGAAGACAAAGCAGAACCAGTTTTAAATGCTAGCCTATCTGCTGAACACTTGTGGCAAGCATCAAAATTAAACTTTTTTTGGCTTACACACTCCTAATTTCTTAATTATCCAAAATTATCTAGGGTGAATTGAGAAGTTTATTAAATACTGTATGTTTGCAGTATTTAAAAATAGCTACTTAACTTTTATATACTTGGAGAGCATATAGCCAAGTTTTACATTCAGACTAATCCAAAAATGCATCCTCCTTTTTGCCAACCTCAAAGATGGCCAGGTGTGGTGGCACACACCTGTAATTACTGTACTGAGCAGGTTGAGCCATGAGATCAAGGCCAGCCTGAACAATTTAAAGGCTTGGTGGTCCACGTCATTTTTAATCTCCAGAGAAGTTTAGCCCTACCACCTTACCCAACTGGAAAAAGAAAAGGCTCTCAAATGAATTCTCTCGAGTAGATTCCTAGGGGTGGCATAAGACATACAGTAGCTGTATCATCAACATTCTGAGAAACTGTCAAGTCCTGTTGCAAAGTAATGGTATCATTTTATAGTTCAGGAGCACTGTATCAGCCTTGTAATTTTCCTACATTGTACCACTTATTATGATCTCTGACTAAGCTACCCCAGTGTGTGTGGAGTCTCTCTGAGACTATGATCTGCATTTTTAATATGCAGTGGTGCTGAGGACCAGACCGTGATTACTGATAGTTTGCACATCGTTTCTAGAGTGATATACACTAAAGTCCACTAACTGTTTTTATTTGTTTTTGGGGTTTTTTGTCTCTTTTTGAGACAGGGTCTCGCTATGCAGTTCAGGCTGGCCTTGAGCTCACTTTGTAGCTGAGGCTGGTCTCAAACTCACAATGATCCTACTGCCTCAGCCTCCCAAGTGCTGGGATGACAGGCGTGCGCCACCACACCTGGCCTTCTCGGTTTTTATTTGGATTATTTTTCATTCTACTATTACATCATAAAATTCATTATGTCTTTGAATGCAAGTTTGTTATAAGAAAAGTAATTTTCAAGTACAGTATTTTCTCTTTTTTCAATGTGTTCTCTTTTTCAATATGTGTTCTCTTTTTCAATAGCTTGGTATTATTTGTACCATAAAAGTTTAAATTTTGAAATAAACCAACATATCAATTTTCCCTTTTCACATTTCACTTCCCTCCTGCTATGGTACTGGGGAATCATACTCTGAGCCACTTTACCACTGAGTCACACACCAAGCCCTTAAACTACTCCAACCGACTCAAACTTGTGCACCTTCTACCTCTGCCTCCAGAATAACTGGGATTATAGGCATGGGCCCTCATATTCAGCTTGGCACTTGGTTTTTATGTCACTCTTTTGAAACTACTTCCTAGCCAATGGTCACAAAGGTCTGTACTCCTCCGTGTTTTTCCCAAGTTTTCTAATTTTACTTCTTTTTCTTTTTTTCTCTAATTTTACTTCCTACACAAACCCATGTTGGGTTAACTGGTTGTGCATGCCAGGACACAGGAGTCTAACTTCATCCTTCTGCACTAGGGTATATGGAATTATCCCATTGTGATTTTCAGAAATGATTAGTTTTGACCTTATATGCACTTGGGACCCAGGTAAATAATTCAAAAAGAGCAAAGATAGCAAATACTGGCAATGACGTAGAGAAAAGCATAAAGATGACAGTGGGACTGTTAGTGAAAACACTAGGAAACATGGAGATTCTCCAGTACTGTCAAAATGGATGTGCCACATAATCCAGCAATCTCACACTATGTGCACATCAAACAGAAATGACACAGCAGCAGCCACAGCACCATCTCCACGCCCAAGTTCACTGCAGCACTAGTCACAAGAGCCATGAGCTGGAAACAACCAAGTACCTTCAACTGATGAACAGACAAAAAGATGCGGCACCTATGCCCAGGGTGGTACTCAGCCATGAAAGGACCTTGTCCTTTGTGTGGTAAGACGGACATGAGATCCTTACATTAAGTGAAATGTCAGGCACAGGAAGGCACAAAGTGCAGGATCTCACTCATGCAGAACCTAAAATAGCTGATCTAACAAGTTGAGAGGAGAGTGGTGGTTACTAGAGGTGGCAGAGGCTCAGGGCAGGGTGCTGATCAAAAGTTACCACCTTACATTTACAGACAAGCAAGTTCTGTTGTAGTACTATTGCACATTAGAGGGATTATCCATTAAAAATACTGTACTACCTATTTTTAAATGCTGGAAGATTTTTTTTGAGACAGGGTCTCACTATACAATTCGGGCTGCCCTTGAACTCACTGTGATCCTCCTGCCTCAACCTCCCAAATGGTGGGATTGCAGGTATGTGCCACCACACCAGGCTGATGCTATAAGAATTTTTAATGTTTTCACCACAAAGAAATGATAAATGTTTGAAAAGAAATGCTTACCCTGATGTGAACAATCTACAGTGTAGGTGTGTAGACACTGCCCAAGCTCCAGGTTCCCAAGGAACTGGTACTACAGGCACATCTCACTGAGCCTGACAAATGATAATTTAATTATAAAAATGAAGTGACCTTAAAATTGAGGAATCCTTTCTCAAGTTTTAAATCTAATTCCATTGATTTATATAGGTTTCTCCACATCAATAGCTACTGCCTTGATTACTGCAGTGTTGAAGTATGTCTGGAAATTAGGAAGGATGAGGCTTCCAAATTTGTTCATCATTTTTACAACTGTTTTGCTTGTTTTAGTCCGTTGGAGTTCCATAGGAATTTTCAGATGAGTTCATCATTAAAGTAAGAAAGTAGCTGTAATTGTGGTAGGACTTGCCCTGCTTCTGTAACGTGGAATGCTACCGTCCTAACAGCACTTGGTCTTTATACCATGAGTATGAGGTGCATTTCCATTTCTTTAGGTTTTCTTTAATGCCTTTCCACAAGATTTTGTTAATTTTCAGCATATATGCCTTGCACTTACTTTGTAAAATTTATTCTTAGGTATTTTCTTCTTCATGATACCATCTTACTGGCTTCTTAGTGTTTTTGCTATCAATTATAGTATCTGATGTTACTGTAAATAAAATTAATTTTCAGATACATTGACATGGATTGCAAAAATACAATCTATTTTTGTGTGATCTTGTATCCTACAACCTTGCTGAACTCATTTATTATGTCTGATGTTTTGATGGGGCTTCTTCGGGACATTCACTATCAATTACATTTTGGCATGCGCATTCTCTGAACATTTCCTTGTTTCCCAGCACAGTTTTTTTTTTTTTAACAGGCACAATACTATTAGCTCTGTCTTTCAAATCATTAAAGGTATTAATAAAATAAATTCAAATAGGTTTCCTGAATGTGGGAACCTCTCTATTACATCAAAAAAGCTCTCACTTAGAAAAAACAATACACTTGTTATAAAACACAGTTTAGTATTTTTTTATTATAGAGGAAATGTAACTAATACTGTGAAATAATGACAGTGCTCTGAGAGTCTTTTCTGAGCTAAACATAAATAAAAAGCCCTTGAGCCCTGGGCACTCAATAAAACTTCAGTGAGTAAATGTAAAAATGAATGATGTGCATAAAATACATGAAGTGTGCATAGTCCAACTAAGAAAAATCAGTGATTTCTCACCCTCCCTTGAAAGTCTCTGGGGAAAAGGTGACTCAACACAGATTTTTGGCATAGGCTAGACAGTAATGACACTGAGCCCAATTTCATATAAATGGAGAAAAAAGGAACAAGACTAAATACTAGAAATTACTTTTTAAAAATGCAATGAAACAATCAGAAGCACTGCTTCGTAAGCTGCTGAGTTGCTTACGGCTAAATATACTAAAAGCAACAAAATTAGCATCTGCTATAGATTTTATTTATTTATTTTTTGGCTATGGAGTTTTAGAAAGTGATTTCCCCATTCCCTTTAAGATCTACAATCCTATGAAAAAAGCCCAATTCGCTATTAAAAACTAATAATACTTTTAGAAAACAAAATCTGGAAAGCACTTGTCTATACCAGTTCCTTTTATTTGTAAAGTCTAGATAAGAGCACGTATGAAAACCACTCTATTATAAATCTAAATATTTAATTCAAAAAGAAACTGACAAATAGTTATATATGTCCAGTTCTTCTACTATGAGACGCAGACCTTCATAACTAATGCTGGTACCTCTTTTCTTACTTCCTAGCAAGTGTACTTGGTGAACAGCACAATAGGATTTTGACTTCTAGAATACTTCCAAGTCCTGTGTCATAGAATGGACTCTAAGATGCAGACACTCCCTCAGGCCTGTAGAGTACTTCTTGGGGCCACGCCCACATGCATGTGGATATTCAGTCCACAAGGCCACCCTCCTCTCCACGGAGAGCCACACCCTGGCTGTACACACCTGTAGTGGGGTTCATCCTTAGGATGACGGACATCCAGACTAAGGTGCCAGGCCGCAGTCTTGCGGCGCCTGCACACATCCCCTCCTTGCAACCTCCGAGGCCTAGACGTCATGAGTGGGCAGCGGGATCCAGTCTCAGGAAGATGGCCTGGAGGTACTGGACTAAATGGGTCCAGAGTTGGGTATAAGGCCAAACTGGCAGCGATTGGGGGTTTCTGGAGCTCAGCATATATTTAGAGAGATAGGGGTGTACTGTGTCTCTAACAACTGAGCCTAATTTCATATAAATAAATGGACAAAAGCGGAACCTTTGCCCCATGTGGAGGGTATAGGCAGAGAGAATTATAAGGGGCTCCCATAAAGCCAGCTACACAGAGCTAGCTCCTCTAGCTCAAGTTTAAAAAGGACAGTATTACAAAGGTCATTCTATTACCAACTTCATTCTCCAGCATTTTACGATGCAAGGCGAAAAATCACACTAACAACACAAGTTGTCAACTATTTACATCTTTAATCTTACAGGAAATTTTCAGAAATGACCTAGAACATGAAGATTCCCCTCCAAAAGGAGGGAATTATGTAATAAATTTGTCACATGTAAGTGATTTCAAGGCCACTTGGATCCATTAGCAAATTTAATAGTTTTATGTTTCCCTAAAATCCCATCACAACCTGAGACAAATGTGAGGAAGATATGTACTGTAATATTAAGTTAAAACCTGAGAACTCCATTTTGGACACAAGTCAAACAGTATTTCTGAGAAGTTGTATTTTACTGAAGAAAAACTGTGGTTATAGTCAAATCAGCATGAATTCTCCATAAGATCACTCTGAGAACACTGCTCCTAAGGATAATGGCTCTTGAAGGAGCTTACCCTTCTTGTAAGACACATATTTGCCAATTCAAGTATTTATCACACTAAGCATTAAAAATGATCTTTCTTCAGCCCAGTTTTTCAGACTCATGAACATGAAAGCCCTCTACTACTGTGTCTAGTACAGACAAAGTCCATGAATTTATAAATACAGATTTTAAAGTAGGGATAAGAATTCTAATGCTTGTATAAACACACAAAAGAAGCTTATATAAAAATAGAAATAGGGAATGTATAATTAAAATGGGGCAGATGCAGCAAATATTTGAAAGACATTTTGACACATATGGAGAAGGGTTGTGAATTTTTAGGAGGTTTTAGAACAATATTACAATTAAACGTATTAAAATGTTCAAAATACTTTGAGATATCACATAAATGTACTCTAACTAATACATAAATAATAGAAGACAGTGAGCTAGACAATGGAAAATATATGCTTGTAACAGAAGTTAATCTGTAATTCTAACTTTCACTTCTCGTGGATATCTAAAAATGATTCTTAAATAAACTATAGAATAAACAAGTGTGTAATTTCTTAACTATACATGCAATAAACATGTCTTCAAGGTATATTCTCCAAGCAATATGCAAAAATAATCTCACTTAAAGAGAAATCTCAATTAACTGCAGCGCTTGTGTTTATTTTAATTATTTGTTTCAAACTAATATATAAATTTTAGCATTAGAATTCGCAGAAAATGCTACTTTAATAACACATCCCACCATTTTTAATATCGGTATAATCTGTGAAGTATTTGCAAGAAATACTACTTTAATAATACATTATAACTTTTAAAAATATCTACAATGTATGAATATGAATTTTGCAATTAATTAATTAGAACTTCAGACTCCATCTCAATCATGCCTAACTCACCTATTTTATCTTACTATCTTTTCGTAACAAAAAATCAGACATTTTATAACATCCCTAATCTGCTTTTCAAATCTTTATCTATACATATAGAAGACATTACTTTTTCTTCCAGTATCTACAAGAAATAGCTCAACATATACACACATATCTACACTCCCTCTTCTTCGAGGATGGGCTAAGAAGTGTTATGACATTACAATACTGATAGACAGAGAGAGGAGCAGCCAGGGAGGAGGAAGAAGACAGAAGGAGGGAAGAAGAGTAGGGGGATAGAGAGGGGTGGGCTTTTTCCTTTATTGACTAGCTGCCTAAGGCAACTGGGACACAGAAGCAAATACAACAGAACAAACCCCTGGCATCAGGGAATTCATGTGCAAGTGGTATTATCTCTAGACACCAAATATATTGTGAAAAAGAAAACTACTTCTTTACGGTTTTATGGGTACAGTAAATACTACTCTATTAATCACACAAACCAATATAAAATCACAATCAGCGCAAGTGTCACTAAAGAAAGGCATATGATTCTATAAGAGAGAACAGGCCTGGTCTATGATTCAGGGAGGGAGATCCAGGTTCCCTAACCCTCTAACACAACCCACTCTGTGTGGGGTCATCATGTGGCCCATTTTCACATCACCCTGGGAACTATGACTGAAAGTACGAACAACGCAAATGCTGATTCTCTGGCCAGTGCTATTGCTATGAGTAATACATCCTTCACTTCTGGCCCAGGAGCTTATGTCTTCTGCCAGTATCCATAAAAACATGGTAGGATAACTCATTAACATACAACTCTAACTTTTTTTATTTAGATCATTTACACTGCTCACAATATTACAACTCAAAGAACCTGCAATACCTGAATCTAGCCTTTCCCCATGTCTTATATGTTAGATCCATAAAGTTATACGATGCAATGACAAAACTATGTTAGGGTCTTATTATTGTGTCTATATAATGAGAGGGCACTCAAATAATGAGAGGGCACTCTCCTGAGGTAAGAAGAAAACAATTTCCCATAGGACGCCTCCAGATCCAACTTCAGAAACAGCAAGCAATCAGAGGGGCAGTAAGTGTCAGGAAGGGCATCTATGCTTTCGAAAGAAAACAGGTACAGATGCACAGTAATGGAAAAACAAATTTAAAGATAAAAGTGATAGAATGAAAATAAATTTCCTTTCCTACTAAGTTTCCCTTTCTCATGCCTCAAATACAATCTAAATGCCCCAGTCCCAGAGCATAGGCAATAGTAGACAATGTAGTATCTAGGTCTACATATTAATGTATCCCTCATTGATTACTGAACAGATTGTGATGATATTAACTGCATAAGAAGTACAAAAGAAAGGTTGAAAAGCATGTGGTACCTCTCATTTGAGTTAGGCAAAGTGTAAATAAAGTGTAACAGTTGAGTATCCATCTAATAAGCCAGGAACATTTATGTCCAGAGTTCAGAGAGGAATCTAGGATAAAGATAGGTTTGGGAGATAGTATTTGAGTTAACATCCAAGAGGAAGACAAAAGCTCAAACGTCTATGAGCAGAAAATTGGGAAATGATGACTTAATTATTAAATAATGATGATTACAAAGAAGTCAACTTAAGGAAATTGAAAAGAAATGATCAGAAAAAGTAAGCTGTATTTTGTAAGCCAGGACAGAATTCCTGTACACCTTAAATAAACTTAAAGGACTGCAGTGAGATCAAAGTTGGAAGGCAAATGTCACTGAGGACTGTGAGATCAGCTAGAAAAGACTGTGTGATGAGGATGCAAGTTAGGGTGCACGGGTTAGGGAGAGCATGAGGAAGGGCAGAGAAGAGTTACCAGCTGCAGCCTAACCTGCTTAATAGTAGTGGGTTGCCTTACATGTCACGAAGAATCTTCCATTAATCTTGTGTGAAGCACTTTTAAAAGCAGAGATATATGATGGATCCCTAAACTAAAAGTACAAGAATTTAGGTTGTACTTCTTGAAAGTGTACGTAAGTTTAGAAAATTATTAATATGGCTTAAATAGAATTCATTGCCCAGTTCTTAGGTTTAATTTCTCTACCTAAATCTTTACGCACAAACAAGTCTCACTACGGCCAGCAAATTCTCACAAAGAACATTTCTGATTACGTAGCTTTCTCCAGTGTTGTTTGATGAAAAGAAACTGCAACAAACATATATTGATTGATTCATGCTTTACTGTAAATGGAAGTTATTCTAGATGCTTTGTTACCAATAGAAACCACTTGTACTTAGAAAATTCTAAACACGAGTATTATGTTGAGGCCTATTTCTTGCCAAATATTATCATATATTTCATTATTCATTGATTACTTAAATGTTTACCATTAGTAAATGGAGAAACTCATGCATTTGAATATTCCTGATAAATATACAAATGAAACAATAAGAATTTCAAATCAGGAATATTTTTGCTAACATTTTGCATAATTAATTATTTTTTTCTGATAATTTTCATTTTTCCATGATTATTTGTTTTCTGTACCAAAAATCTACATCACTTTGCTTCCTTATATTTTGCATTATGTATGTGCCAATGATGACTCCCATCTACAGAATGTATTTGGATGAGAACTGATGGCAAAACTGAAAGAATAATGCTACTCTTTAGTGCGTGACACTAAAAATAGAAGATGACTATCTAAAATGCTATTAGTTTGTTTTAACTTGGAATTTCAATCTGACAATTGTTTCCCAGGAATAAAAATGATCACATTCTCCCTTCAAATGTATACACATGTGTGTGAGTATGTCTGCACACCTCCGCGCACAGTATAACGAATGGAAGAAGCAATGGACTTTAATCTTATAGGAATTTAAGTACCTATTCAAGTTCAGCCTCCTCTTCTTTGTGAGATTTTTTAATGTCTATATGCCATCTAAGCCTGTAAGCTATAAAACAGAATTTTGCCTATATTACAAAATTCAAAAGATAAAAAAATGGAAGCCACTTTAAATTATAAAGTATTATTTAAAATGTGGAATATCACGTACAGCAGGTACATACACAAATACATATTTCACAACATCAAAATTATTTATTTTAAAGGGTCTAATTTATTATCCAAAGATATACTCTGGTATGTGTTATCAATGTCAATTTTATCCTAAAATTCAAAAGCCAACATGACTATTCTTAGAACAAATTATTTTAACAGAGAAGCCAGAACATAAGTAAACTAATATTCTGATTCAATAAACAGACATAATCTAATCACTGATCTTAACAATTTCAAAGATGAAGTTAAAAATTTCAAAGATGAAGTTAAAAATTATTCTCTAAAACAAAGATGAGAAGAAAGTAAGACTCAGATATATATTTCTTAATAAAGTTCAAAAATACT